TATATAGCGGGCGTAATAACAGATTAAACTATCAAATTATTATTAGATACATACCTATCTTATAGTTCTTATACAATATTAACTACTATGTTATCAGCCGTGCGATTAATTCAAACACAATGCATAAGACGATAAAACATTATTAATTAGACTTCTGAATGCATTAATGCATGATTTTAGACAATATACATGCGTTTCTTATATTATAATGAGTATAAAAATTATATTTCATAATTTATTTTTTATATCATACGAGTATTCTTGAYGATAAATTCATTATACCCTCAACTGTAAACAAGATGAATAGTTTATTACGCTATAAAATAGAATTCAATTAAATGTTGTAACAACGATATTTATACCTAAGATTGTCTAAATAAAGTATATGATGTCGCACATAATACACAATTATCTATTTTATTTATCTTTAACATTTAAAAATAATTCGGTTGAGTTATTTGCAACGAGGCCTCACACTAAACGCTTTTAATTTTCTTATAATGTACTCGAATTCATAAGTTCTTATGTTATTTTAAGCTATTATAGTTATAATACTTGTTACCAGGTAGGTATATATTTCAAATTTAATACATTTACAACTAAGTATACTTTGGAAGATAACTTGTTTCCCGATGGTCTATGTCACAGGGAGTGTTTTTATTAGTAATAAAAAACCTAATTGAATAAAAAGTAACAATGAATACGACATAAATACTAAAATGTATTATTAATATTCCATCTGATTTGTCACAAACTTAGACATTTTGATAGAATGTAATTTTGTAATTGTGCAATTTAAAGTAGATAGTATTTTAACTAAACAATAGTCACTATACTACATTTAAATGCACATATTTATTAATAATGGTTTGTAAACTGATTTTAAAATTTTTTATTAATATTCTATACAAATATATGATTAGATAGATCTGAAGTCCTAAAATATATTATCAAATACAGTTAGTCGTGAAAACTTGAAGTCGAAGGGGAGATAAAAAATTAGTTTGATAAACGTATTATTAGAGAAAAATAACTCAAATTCAACATAACTTAACATCAAAAGGAGTAAAAAAAATCGAATTGTCAAGTTTTTCGAGTTGTTATGAATTGTGTTAGTATTAAATTTTTACGAACAATTGCCATTTATTGTACTTTTACAGGTCCTTCAATAGTCAACGTCAGCGTGGTGTTATTTACATTGTCATCCCCTGATGAATCAAGTTTGGTAAATTATTAATTATCTTATTATTTTAATATTTATTAAGTTAAGTACACGATTTAGAAATTTTTCATAATATTACATAATATTAAAATGTTTAAATATACTATATAGCTAATGGTAGGTATTTTGTATTTTTGTTTCATAAATGAAGGTATAGATATATTACTTACTTTAAATCTATGTTAAATACCATATTAAATTAGTGCATAAATTAAAATATTTAATGTAACCCATAATAAACCATTATAATATATAACAATTTTAGTAGCTGTATTGTGAATATTAAACAATAATTTAGAGCTGTTATTACAATGTACTGTTATTTTTTCTCGCTATAAATATTCGTTACTTATATGTAGTCGGTTAAAACTTAAAAATTTAGCAGA